AAAACTAGTCAAAATTTTATAATTGATAAGCACTTTGGCAGACAAATTGCCACATATTTCGGTAATTATAATCAAAATTATTAATTAATATTTTACAAATCAATTGTTTCTAAAAATAAATTCCCGCAAAAGACACTCGATATCGAGTGACCGGATATTCATTTGAAATCTACCCATTAAATCAAGTGATAATCCACGGCAAGAGTAGTCACACGTACCGAGAATTAGGCCAATTTATATATGGATTATTTGACTTGAATGAGGTGAACCATCATTTAATACCTGTTGTGTCAAACCCGCAACTGGCCTACACTCTGGGGCCCGCATTCGACGCATACAAAAACCAATACAAACCCATTTTATCGGTCTATTATTTGGAAGGGAAATACTACTTATTTATGGTTCATTTGACACTTTCCGATGGCATTAGCTATAGTGAGACCGGAAACGATCCCAAACTAAAAGTGGACAAACAATTGTATTATCCGTTCAGACATATAAATTCCGACCAATTTTCACCACTAATGACATATAGATCTATTGACTCCGGATTTAATAAGATTATCGGCGCCTACTATAAGCCCTTCATCAAAGATGGTAATGACTGGCAATGGCCACACATTGTGGGCAATAATATCAATGACACCAATGATAATAAGCTATACTATTATGAACTTTTAACTTATGATAAAATAAGTGACTCCCACATGATTATGGGGAACGTGTTATACAAGAGGCTTCAATACGTTTTGAGGTTTGTAATATAATAATTTTAATTAAGATAATTTAATTACATTAAAATTTTTAACTTATTAATCACTCGCATAGCGCGTAAAGGGACCGGAAGGAGAATACCTAAAGGCCTTTTGTCCAACATTGAGTCCCTCTAACACATGGTTTACATCAAACAAATTGTCATATATTTTGGCAATACTTGTGTTGATTCTGATTGTGTCGACAATTATTGTCGCTTTCATTGCCTATCGATTCAATGGTAGACAACAATCAAATGCAAAGGACTATCAAAACAACGCGAATAACAGATCTAAAGTCCAAAACTAATACAAGAATATTCAAAAAGTAGTTTAATATTTAAAATACTAAGAGATTAATATTTTATTCAATTGATTTAATTAAAATTTTTTAAATATATTTTCATTTAACATTTAAATTGTTATCACATTTTAATAAACTTTAAACCAAAAAAATATTATTTATTACTTCACTGTGTTTTTGTAGTTTAAACTTTTTTGATATTATATTTGGTAATTTTTTAATAAACGAGTTTAATATTTTAAGACATATTTAACAATTCAAATCATTACTAAATATTGGTTTAAAAATACTCTACATTTCACACGATGTGTAAGGATTTCTTATATTTATTTTAAGCCAAATTTTATTCAAATACTGAATATTTTATGGATATAAGTCCGCATGATAAATAAAGTCAAATATAAAATCTAAATAAATGTTAAAGTATGTCAATTGACAATAATTGTGTAAAACTTATTTGTATTGTTAAAAGTAAAACCTTTAGCTATAAATTCATATTTTCAATGATTTAATTGTTTTGCACGAGTTTTATACAAAACGTTAATTTCAAAGTGATTTTTAAATAAATCCAATTTTTCTCTACTAATTGCAGACATGTCTTCATATGTGATACAAATCGTAATAATCTGTAATCTCTTATGGATTAGTTGTTGTCAATCGCAACTAAATACATTGTGTCATAATTTTATGACAGCAAGCTCATTTAATACACGGTTTAAACTGTTTCTACAAATTCAAACCTACGCTAATAACTACGAATTGTGGTCAATGGACTCCGAGACTAACAAAGACAGGTTAGCCCAAAGTCTAATCCATGGCAAACACCCAACGATCACAAGAATGCCTCCAAAACACTACAGTTGTGGTCAAAACTCAACACATTTACTGTCTTTCCTTCACAAACACTTCAATTTGAGTGAGTTTTTGACAAAATTATTATTTTATATGTTTTATTTGACACAACAGTTTCATTCTAGTGTTAATTATCAATATTTAAATTATAATTAATGTCTTTTGCGAACATAAATGTGTGACTTTAGGAAAGGACGCGAGGATTACAGCACACAATATGAATGTGGAAGAGTTGGCCGAACGGTGCAAAACTGGGGCCAATGTTAAAAAAACACATAAATACATGTGTAAAATGTCTTATTCAGTCTTAAATGATAGCGAAACGGATATGTTATGCGTTTACGACACGTCCGGACAACCGGGTAATCAATGTATTAAAAGGCAATGCATTCAACGAAACATCATTTCCGGCCGGGAATCGCAAGAATTCCAGTGTACAAAGTCTCGTTTATGACACAAACTTTGCCCAAATTCTCCTAAATAGTAGCATTGGTCCGGAATTTTCATAAATACCGTTAATAACTATTTAATCAATTTATTTAATCACTATATTATAGATATAAACCAGAATATATACGGCTTTTCATACAAATCGTCAAAAATAATACACAGATATCATTGCAAAAAGTATTACCATCATCCGGATGTTGAACATTGCAAATACCATATCCTTCACTCTAAAGACTATTATAACGTGTGTTTGTATGGATACACATCCGAAAAGACCAACAAAACCATATTTTTAAAGACAGGTCTCAAAGCATTTGCTTTTTACTACACACCCAATGGTCTGCTTCAGTATAAGGGGAGTAGTTATGGACACAACTCTTTTTGCAGAACATTTGCCGCATATATTGGACGCCAAATATTAATTGGACGGAAACCTGACTTCCGGGGCCTCACAGCCTATCAACAGGAGGGCAAAGACACTAAGCTATACAATATTGCTGTGGTTTGGGCCAAGAGTATTGACCCTCAGGGCAACGAGCATTACATCCATACGTTTAAGTGGGCCGTCGATGTCGATTACATGCCTGAAGGAAAGCCACCAGTGATTGAGAATATGATAAATAGTACTAATGTCTCAAACCTCATACACCACAGCGAACAGATATTTGGATGTTTTATTCACAACAATAGTATCATTACATATGCCTTCACCGGTGGTCAACACGAGGCCATTGCTATCGATAACATAACGTCAATCAATCCATTGGTAAATTTATTGTAAAATGTTATGACATTTTAATTATATATATTTTTTTATAAGTTTGGTGCAAAGATTTATCTCAATTGGGATCACATTGTTTTATGTCCGGCAAATACATGACATATTCAGTGGTCAGTAGTTATACCGAAGGCGTGTGTGAAGTGAACCGCACTTATAACAGTCGTCAGAGTGTCTTCAATATCGGTAAACGACATTATCATCAAACGGGCCGTCATTTCTATTTTTATCGCAAAAAAATTCAATACTTTGAATTTGATAAATATGTTACACAACTCTTGGCCACATATTTCGGTAATTATATCAAACCTATTGATAGTATTCACAAATAAATTTTATTGAAAATAAATTTGTCTAAAAGACACTCGACATCGAGTGACCGGATATTCATTTCAAGATTACCCGTATTATCAGACGGTAATCCACGGCAAGAGTAGTCACGCGTACCGAGAGTTAGGCGAATATATCTATGCATTTTTTGAATACCATTACTATTACCATCATTTAATGCCTGTTTTGGTCGTCACTGATCTGGCCTACACTATGGGCCCCGCACTCAAAGTATACAAAGGCGAACACAAACCCGTGTTATCGGCCTATTATTTAAGAGACAAATATTACTTATTTATGTTTCACAACGAAGTGTCCGATGGCTTCAACTATAGTGAGACCGGAAACGATCCCAAACTAAAAGTGAACAAACAATTGTATTATCCGTTCAGAGATACAAATGCCAACCAATTTTCAACGCCAAAGATATATAAGTCCATTGACTCCGGATTTACTAAGATTATCGGCATTTACAATAAGCCCTTCACCATAGATGGCAATGACTACCAATGGCCACACATTGTGGCCAACAATATCGATGATACCAATGATAATAAGCTATACATTTACGAACTTATAACTTATGATAAAATAATTAAAATCAGATATGTTAGTGGAATGCCCTCATGGGAAGATGTTATCCAAAAGGCCTCAATACATATTAAGGTATGTTATATTATAATCTTTTTTAAGATAATTTAATTACATTATAATTTTAAACTTATTTATTACTCGTTCAGCGCGTTGAGGGACCGGAAGGCGAGTATCTTAAGGCGTTTTGTAATAATTCAAACACAATGAGCTCTTCTAACACATGGTTTACATCAAACAAATTGTCATATATTTTGGCAATACTTGTGTTGATTCTGATTGTGTCGACAATTATTGTCGCTTTCATTGCCTATCGATTCAATGGTAGACAACAATCAAAACAAAAGACTACCAAAACAATAACGGATCCGAAGTCAAAACTAATACAAAAATAATCAAAAAGTTGATATATTATTGAAAATACTTAACAAAAACAACTCTTTTATTTACTTTAATCTTAAGTTTCTTTAATTATATGTCAAAATTGTTATCAAATTTTATGTAAACTATAATAACAAAAATAGGTTACTTATTATTTCACTATATGTTTAATTGATTGTATGGTATTTCAAAAAGTTTTCAATATTACATTTTGTAATTCTTTAATAAACAAATATTTTAAACATAATTTTAGACATAAATTAATCCATTAATTTTTTTAATCACATTTTATTTCGATGTTTTTAAATCACTGACTGTATGTATAATTAATTTTTATTTTATAATAAACAATAATTATTGAAAATTATGAATCTTATAATTGTATTAAATTGTAAATAAAACATGTATGTCTAAACTTTTTATAATTAATTCCCGTTTTATATTAAACAATAATAATGAAACAACTTTTTTCATATAATTATACTGATATTTATAATTTTAATTTTGTTTCTAAATTCATTGCAATTGAAACATGTTCAATCTATGTAAATTTTCTAAATACATGTCCCGGTATTCATATAAAACTTGTATTTTAAAAATAAAATCAATGATAAAAATTAGTGAAAGAAGTTATAATCAAATGTTAAAAATCATTAATAATGCGAGCATTAATTCAAAAGATGTTTTCTATACTTTTAATAAAAATGTATGCTTTAAGTGCAACACATGTTAAAGTGTAAATAATGTACCAATATTTTCCATTATATCCTGCACATTTATACATAATATACCATTATTTAATGATTTATATTTTTCACCCTCGTGATTTATTACCATGAACATACGAAAGATAAAAATAAAGAATTAATACAAGAGTGCAATAATTATAATAAAATTTTCAGAGTATATAAACTCGAAGGATATAATGCAAAATTCATCACTAGTTTTATATAACTATAAACTTATCTAATAGTTAATTTTGAAAACAATGAATTGTTCAGTATTGGTATCATTGGCTTTGTGTAAGTTTTCAATAAATAAATTTATATTATATATTTTGTTACTAAAATATTAATTTCCAAATGCTTGAACACAGGCCTAACCGCCGCTCAATTGTCTTATGGAGCGAGTGTTGAAAAGAGGCATATAGTGGGAGATCTGATGCATTTACTCAACCCGTTTGGTCACTGCCAAAGCCCTCCCGTCCAAAGTGTTGGAGCCGTTGGAGACAAACCGAGTGTATTGAAGGTAGACATGGATCAGGTATTACAGGCCGACTGCGCCCACCCCTTGTCCCCCAACTATAAGCAAACTTTGCGCCGATTGGACGTCGATTTGAGACAATTCATGGTTTTGGATCCGACGAATC